GCCTGTAGTGGTGACGGTTGCTCGCGGTTGCCGCGGCGGGGTACTAGTAGAACCGCGCACGACGCGATGACCTGCGCGCTTGGCGGCCGTCGTCCCCCGCACGCTTTGGCGGTCGGTTCAGGCGCAATGTGGTGCAGGCGCACCCAGGGTAAGTTCTCTATTAACCGCGCGACTTGCAATTAACTCCCACTAACTTCGCGGTCCGTTCCGCAATCGCAAGGGTTTCGTGCCCGCAACCGCGGCAGCTACGTGCCCGCACTAACTTGCAGGGTCGTGAGTATTCAAATAAAACCGCTGTCTAGCACCACCGGCGGGCGCGGATACATAGAACGTACATAGTTTGGAACTTTCAAATCTAATTTTAGCATCCAGAAGCCTTTATTCGCGTCCAATTTTGTAAAATATTTAGCTCAATCTAGTTCACTAGCTATTTCGTCTAGTGTCGGTAACTGAAAGTGATTTCACCGCACTGCCTTATTTAGATGAAATGGATCCAAACAAATGCGTAATTTTTTATCCGGTTTCAACTATGACCAGCCCTGAGACCCACTACGTCGGCGTTTCCTCTCGAATTATAACACCCAGTTTTTCCATACTGTCCAATTCTTCCTTCAGCCGTTGCCTGAGGCGCATAGGGATTTTTCTACTGGCATTTACTACTGGCGCAAGTTTCGTCAATCGATATATTAATTCTGGCAGGTAAGCATCCTATTCCCTCGAAAACCGTCTTATCGAACTTATACAGTGATAACTTGTTAATACGCGCTATTAATTGTAATGCAGTACATGCGTTTAACCCTAGTAAGTTATTACATTCAACATCTAGCACATACATTTTTTGACAAGTAGTAAATGATTTGTACTTTAGCGTAGCCATAAAATATCCCACTACTGGCAATCGACTTTTACTAATTTCTTTTGAGTATTGTTTTCGTTTTACATAATAAGTTAAATTTAAACCCTGCCTGCGTGAAGCTTTTAAGAGACATTACGGAGGTATCTGCACCACTATCTAATTTAAATTTGATCAGAACCTTATTTACATACACCGATTCAAACCAGGACTAACCTGCGTCGTCTGTAGCGTCTATAGAGATATTGTAAATGTAGAACTCACGGTCCTCCGGGTTATTACCATATTCATCACCGCAATCCAACACCTCACGCACTATTTTTGCTTTACAATACTTCGCGAAATGCCCCACTCTTTCACAACGATAACACTTTACATTTAAACCCAGGGCAGCGATCTCGATTAGGTACTATGCCGCCCGCCGCATTTATCACACACTTTCCGTGACCCAACGTTACCGCTACCGCTGCCGCCATACGTTCCGGCGCCGGCACTGCGCCGCCGATGCCATCTCCGGCCGCGTCAGGCGCACCGGCTGTACGTCCGCTGGTCATATACGCGACCTCCTCGAGCTCGAGCGCTGACGTTGCGCCCCTAACGCTGCTCCTGCAGACCGCTGCCTGCGAGCATGCTCGCTCTGCCGCTCGACAACACGCCTCGGCCTCATTTAACTCTAAACTAGGTCTTGCTAGTAATTTCTCTCTCATTGATGAATCTTTAAGCCCTCTTATTAAAGCTGTGAATTCGGAATTCATTACGTAATAGCTTTATTGCGTAATGAATTCCGAATTCACAGCTTTTGCTTTTAATTTTAAGTTCGCTTAAAAATTTGTCAAAACACTCGTCCTTTTGGTATGTTTCGAAAAATGTATGGCGCTCGAAATTTACATTCACCTTAGGGTCAAAACATTGTTTGAATTTCTCGATTATTCGTCGTCGAACGAAATGTCTTTGTGTTCAAAATCAAATTCTTCGTAAACCTCACGGCCGTACTTTCCTATCACGTGAAGAAACACACCGCACTTTTCCTTGGCAGGAGCGTTTTCGCGGCCCGATGCGATTAAAAAATAATCGAAGGTACTTTCCATTCTCACCAATTCACCGCCATATTGCCATGTTCTTGCATGACAGTTGGTTGTTGTATGGCCGCGTATGATAAAGTGGCCGGGTGCACATTTTATCCACTTTGATTTTTCCCACTTGAATCGTTAGTTAGTTATAGTATAGTTAATAAAATTTACTACTCACAAAATTCGGAACCGTTGCCACACCTGACACCATGTAGTATTTGGAAAGGGCTTATTCAATGATACACCGTAGACGTGTTAACAATGACTGCTATATTTGATCACCACCACCAGCTACCCACATTATTATAATATTTAAAGGTACCTTCACATACAACAACCTTGAAATAATAAATCGGTTGTATCTTCTACACAAAGGAGCGATGAGAGATGGAGTATAAAATTATACGATTTTCACGTGGAAAATCATTGTATTATTATACTTATTAATTCGCTATGAAGCAAACTACATCTAAACTCTAAAAATAATTTTAAAATAAGGTGGCCGTTTCAAAGTCACTACATTCGCGTAAAGGTATTCGAAACATCGCTGGGCGACAAAATGATTCATCAAAATTTTCAATTTTTGTTCTCTCAACTCACTGGAACTTTTTGACAAGAAATTATGAAAAGTGCACTTCCAACTTAGAGGATGGAAAATAGTCTAAGACTTCCAATGTGTCCATTCTATCTCCCCATTAATAGAGCTTGGATCTAGTTTTTGTGTCACTGAATAAAAAGCAGTGTCAGTTTGGAAAAAAAAAATTATTTCCTTTATGGCGGCCATGTGCCAGCGTCAGTTTTATATTTAGAGGATGAAAAAGGACTTCAGTAGTAAAGTTTTTCGTCCTTCGGGACCTTAGACTATTCCTTTATTTTTTTCCATCCTCTAAGGTTTTATAAAAATAATTATAAAAATTATGGCGATCATCACCAGTGTCAGTATCTAAGCACAATCCTTTTTCGGAAAAAAAAAACCAAGTTTTTCATCAGAATTGGTGGCAGTGACCATAGATTTAGTATATCCAATAGATTGGCCCTGAAGTATTGGAGACGAGACCAAAACAAAAATACATATGTGTGCATATAATGTGTATGTCTGCAAGATAAATAGTGTTGCGCCATCCACTGATTTAACTTTAATATCGATTCACATCTTACACCGGCATTTCACTTCGTCGTATTCACCAAAATGTCTTATCGCAAAACGCCGAGACGTTAATTATCTAATTAGTTAATGATTCAATACAAAATTAAGAAAGCTAGTGTCACCTTCTGGCAGTGTCATGGGATGGTAGGTAAACAAAGGGGACTTTCACCCAAGATAACACTAAGGCTCTACAAAACGGTGATAAGACCCATGATCAGTTACGGCGCGATAGTATGGTGGCCATGAACCAAGCTGACGACCGCGACCGACAAACTGGACAAATTCCAAAGACTAGCCTGCATGGCGACGATTGGCTGCATGAGGACAACTCCAACTGCGGCTACACAAAAATCCATTAAATGTAAGACTAGAAGACATTAAGTGTAAGAGTAGAATGTGGGTACAGAACCAGAACGTAGCTTTACTCTTTGCGTGCCTCTAAAGGAAAAGCATTTTTCCTCAAAGTGTTTGCTGCATATTTTTGAAAACTTTTTAGGAACCCAGTCTTCTCTCTTTAGCATTATAAGCCATTTCTGTCGTACTTCAATGTTTTGAGGAAATCTGAATTAACAACAATAATTAACATTAAAAAAATGGGTGCCTCAACTACGCTATTAAAAGAAATTTTAGTTTTAATGTAGGCAAAAAATAATGCACTAATGCAATATTAATTAAATATAAAGTACTAAAACCAGAAATTTCTGATTCAATAATCTTAAGTATGAAGATGATTTCGGCTGTATGCAAGCCACGCCTTTGCCTTTCTTTTTTTCAGTTAATGACATCTCGATAGTATATTATCGATTGCGTCAATCTCTACGAACGTGAGGTTATGAATTTCAGAAATTCACGTATTTGATATATTTTTAATTGAATTCGTATACTTTTGGGTTATTAATGCACTTGAATGGTATAATTTTACGGATATGTTTATGTAAAAAACTTTTGTGGTAGTGCTTTTAGAGAGCTAAAAATTTAAATAGTACTTACATGTGAAATGTACAATTCTGCGAGTTTTCCTTTTTAGATGAGTTACATCTGGGCACTGAACACGTTACCATAACTAATAAACGTCCGTTTAACACTATTTCACATTTTAAAACCAATTATTTTTCAAGAATAAACGAAATTTGTTTCGTTATCAGCTGACCCTAGGTTCATACAGGCTCATAGCGTATAATGAAGTGGTCTCGTCTACCCATCTCGCTCTAACATACGTGTATACTAACGCTCTTTCACTTGCATTGCCAATCTATGGGTACCTATATACTAAACCTATGGCAGTGACCACAGATTTTATACTAAATCTATGGCAGTGACAAACGGACTTCAGTAGTAAAATTTTTCGTCCTTCGGGACCTTAGACTGTCCTTTATTTTTTTTTCCATTCTTTAAGTTCGGGACAGGCCCTGTACTCTCGTTGTCCGTCTGACGTCCGTCCGAAACATATTCTCAGCTAGAAAATCTTGTCAGATCACATCAGGTCACGGGAGCAATATACTGAATGTTACGAATAACTTTGTGTGTGGCACAATATCATTTTCAGCGATATTTACAATCACTGCCTTTTTACAGCACTAATTGTCACGTGTCGGCACTGATATCTTACGGATCGGCCTGTAATCTGTAATCTACACCCAACGATCTTCTACACCGTTTAAAACTAGATACATTCTATTTGACATATGTAATATTTTTAGACGAATTAACTTGGCATTTTCAACAATATTTTGATATAATAACCGTTAAGTACTTATTTTAAATTTGCGTAGGACTTAAGCAGGCGTTGAACAGACTGAAAATTACACAACCTATATTACAAGTGTAAATGTTATCAAAAGTGTATAAAGGATAAATATAAAATAAAGGATAAATAAAAAAATGGAACAATGTGGCAAAGGAAAATAAACCATCTTCTTTCGTTGCTCCCCGCTCCCTTAATTGATGTTTCTTATAAATCAATTTACACTGATTTGAAATCTTATTTAATATTTATAAATACAAATATTTAGTCTTATTTATTTATTTAATACAAAGGCGGTTCGTTCTGTTTTGACGTCAAAAATATTTCGCACATGTTCTGCAAGAAAATTGGAAATTGTTTTTTCATTTGACAATATCGAATGCAGACGTAACATAATAACAGCATGTGTGATTGCGTAAGTGCTACCCACTTATTTTTTATTGTATTTGATTTATTTCTGTGGGCGTACAGTACCTACGGCCTCGATACAGGTTCCCATTATACATACAGGTACTATTCCTTATCTTCTTTTGAAGAGACTACTTCTGTACTATTTTAGTGTTTAGGCGCCCTTATAGATACAATGTTTAAAAGCGCAGCAGCAGCGCCACAGTCGCAGATATTGCATGAAAATTTGTAGTGACGCGTCTGCAGCGCGCAGACGTGCTACGGCAGCGCTTCGGGCACGCTGGAAACCAGCTCTACAGGCTGAAAATCTATCAGTCTGTAGCTAATAGCTGAGCAAATCCCGTTTGCGTGCGCCGCGACACGCATTTATTATTATTTTTTTAATCATTATACTTACGTTTTAACTTTTGTTAAAGTACTCACGTACTGTATTTTAATTTAAAGTTTATAATATTGTATTTTAACTTTAAGATCATGTGTGTCTCGGTGCTTACGCAAAAAGTATTCTTATTCTAATTTGAAGGCGCTTTAAATGACTGCTGAGAGCAATAACTCTTCTCTGCTCTTCATAGTTCTCGATCATTCTCGATCACGAGATTCGTATGTGTGTGAAGTGCTTTGGTGATCCCAAGCATACGACCAAAATCTTTTATTTGGTGCCTTAAGGGCGCGTTCCATTGTAACATGTAACGTTTTATTTATCGTTGAACAAGCGACTGTCGTGTCTAGCCTGTTCCCATGTCAAGACTATCTGTCGTGACTGTGTCGAGGACGTTTATTTTATCGTTGACGATGTCATAACGACAATTTATTGGTTCACGACAGTCGCCTTGTCGTTTGCAGCTGCTATTATCTGACGTCACATTTTTATCGTAACGTTTTATTTATCGTCGGATGACTGTCGTTCTAGCTCTACCCATGATCACGACAGTCTGTCGTAACGGCAAAAAAGTCATGAACGACAGTTAATCGTGTTGGTCTATGTGTGAACAACTTCATTTAAATATACAAGGCACGACACTTTAAACTGCACGACTAACTGTCGTCACGACACAATGGGAACGCGCCCTAAGTATAATACAGCCACATGTGATCACCTGTCCAAACTATTTTTGTTACATGAAAGTTAAAAAATAATACGATCTACATGAAACAAATTATGTAGGCTGTGAAATTTTATAACTCTCGTATTTAGGCATAAACTGTTATGTTATAATTTCGTTCGTAGAAGTTTTCCTAAAAATTTGTCATTTTGTTGTTTCTCAGTTTTTGACATAAATTGGGTAGGTACATGAAATCAACAGTAAAAAGGGATTAAATGGCTTATTATCTGATTCCGAACAACTACTGACTTTTAGAATTTGCTAAATTAAATTAAATTACTACAATTTTTAAAGTAGTAGAGGCATTATTGCGCTAACAGGGCTGGAGATCCCGTACTTGGTTTTATTATGCTATGGTGATACTTGTAGGCTTTGAAAAAGGAGCACTATGACTATTAAAGTTTACATGATTTCATCTTTTTAGTGTGCTACACGTGAGCATCGAGTATGCAAACTGAAACGGCCACACCATAAACCTCTTCCAATAACGCTAAAGCAACCCAGCGCATGGGAGAAATTCAAGTTACTCATGTGGAAGAACAGCTTGCTGCAGGTGCGGAATCGAGGGCAGACCATCGCAGAATTGCTGGTCCCCATCGTCACTATGGCATTAATACTGATCATTCGTTGTCATGTCGATCCCCTCGTTATCGGTGTCACCAAATATCCTAAATATAGGGCTGATACGTTAAATTTTTCTTTACCTATTTTGTAAGTATTATTGTTGTATTCACTGTGTTGTAGACTACTATTGGATACAAACACAAGTTGAGAGTTCAACTACCTATTTGAGTTTGTTTGACAGGTTGACAGCTACAATTTTGTGATTATCGCGGTCCCCACACTAGGCAAGCTTGTATTGTGGGGTCCCATATTATCGATTTACATAATATAGTTAGCCTCTAAAATGAACAGAAAGTTCTGAGAGTTAGTCCCAGCAAAGAGGGGCCCGGGATGGAAGGCTCGTCTGGTGTTCGGCGAGCCTCACATTCGGAGTCGAGGGACCGATGTATCTCCCTTCTCGGGGAGGTGCTACGCAAGGCGCGGCCAACCGCTGGTGGGAGCGCGGACGACTGCAATAGCGTACCCGTACCCCCACCTACAGTGGACAGTAGGAACACTCCGGCGAGTCTAGTGCGGTCGGGCTGTCATTTCAGGGTTCAGCCCAGTCCCACATAAACCCGGCTCTGACCCCGCGGACCCGGGGTATGTCTAAGTAGATTCCCCCAGATTAACAAAAAAAAAAAAAGATAAAATAGGCAATAATCACTAATTACTATCGTAGGAATTTTCGACCTCAGTACCTTTGAAGGCTGATTTCAACAAATAAAGGCCTATTAAGTACTACTTTTTTGGATTAATAAGGAAGTTTAGAGTCTAGCGCAATTTTTAAAGTTACTCAGGAGCTATGAAATTGCTATTAATATAATATAATTTGTTTAGGTTTTTAAGCTCAAGTCTGACTCTCTCGAACGTGAATTTCCACTTCGAGTGAAAACTTTCGCTTCCATTGATGTTACGAAGACGATTATTTTGTGCGTTAAAGTACAATTCATAAAGATTGAGTTACAAAAAAAATCTGATAAATTGTTGTACAAATTGAAAAAAAAAATTAGAGCCTATCCGGTTGAATATTAAAAAAATCCATTATAGAAATCATAACTGGAAAACTAGAAAAAATCGCATAACATACATGGGGGTGATTCGGATACCCATCAATGTGAGGCACCTAAATTTTTTTTGGACGTCACTATCCCGGCCACCCTGTATATATAGGGGAGCGTGGGGGAATGGAAGCCCACCAAGGAAAATTGATAATAAAAAAGATAATAAAAGTCATAATTTATGTAATTTTAATTTATATTAATTATGAACGTACGCTTCACATATCTGGGTACTAGATAATCACCGAAAAAATATGAAACTAAAATATAATATTTGGTTAAAAAGAAAAAAATTAAAACATGTCATTCGCTCCCATTACCCCACAAATTGCAATGGGATAAGGAGAACCAAATAGCTCTCATTACCCGCGTAACATCATAATTGAAAAAAGAATAAAACAGTAAAAACATTTCTATTTTTAATTGTGATTCAAGCATAACTTCTAAAAATAGATATGGTGACATAGCTAGTGTAAATACAATGTAGTATCTATGCATGTTAATGCTTACCGGGGATGATGAAATTTGTCAAATTTTATAAACGCGGAGCGAAAAACATACAACCATCTCATACAATTAAACGCGGGTTTCTACGGGGGCGCCCACGAGACTCGAACTTTGTCGAACGTTAATGAAGACATAGGAGTGCTGTTTGTACAAATACGAGCATTGGGGAAGTCCAGTTTAACACCGCTCTCATTACCCGCGGGCTTCCAATACCCACGTTCCCCTATACATATATACAGGGTGGCTATAAAAGTAGTAATTAATCCTTAATAAACTAAATTCCAATGTTTTATAACAATAACTTCACAATGCTGCTATGACATGTACACAATTAAATTCTCGACGAAATCGTAAGTCAAGCCAAGCAACCAGTTTTGCAGTACACTTTTAGCTTCGAATGGTGAGTGGGATACGAAACATAAGTTTGGTAATAAATTAGAGCACTAGTCAATTGACCGAACAACTTGTCTATGAGTACTTATTACACTTTTGAGGACGAGGTTTCCGCGGACACTAAGAATACCAGCTCCCTGTACAAAACTGTAGTTGGATTTACAAATGTACATTATTATTAAACAAATTAAATCTTTATTTCAATAGTGTATGGTCGTGAACAATATGTTTGTACAATTTAGGTTTAAATAAACTAAATGGCTTGTTAATATAAATTGAAAAAAAAAAGACGCAAACATCTTTCCACGCATTTTAACGCTACGTAGATTATTAGATGAAAAATTAATAATACGTACATAACAGAGGAACAAATACGCTTTTTGCGAGTTTTTGCGTTTCCTAAGCTCGTCCGTACAAATCGGCGTGTTTGGCCATGGGAACGCGCCCTAAGCAATTGGAGATTTCGGAAAGAAACGGGCATGCACTTCATAATGTGAACCATTTCAAGGTTTTTCATCCTATACCCAGAACCTTTAACTCGTATGATTGTGGTGCCTTGAACGGAGTAATTTAATCCTGTTGTCCTGTACAAGTACCAACTTAATAAGAAAATAGACATGACTTTTCAGAGATTCGTCTTTTCTATTCTAATTGACTCACATGTTCTTTAGTTACAGATTACAGAGAAACTTTGATACTAATCTTGAAATTTCGCAACAAGGTAGCTTATATTTTCTTTCGCCAAGCAGTAATGTGAGCATTACTGCGTTCCGATTTTGAAGGCTAAAGGTGCTGGTGAAATTACAGGGACTTGTCGACTTTTGTCTCAGGGTGACGGGCGCAGTGGCAGTGCCCCTCAAATCTTTGTGATTTAAAGCTTCGAGTGGCACTGCAACTGCCATGGACAGGCGTGTTGCTTACCACCAGGCGCATGACTTGTTCGTCCCCTCACTTGCTATCATAAAAAAAGAACCATCAATTTTAAGAAAAATGTTAAAAACACTAATTTCAATTTCTATGTAGGTACGTTCACAATTTATATGTTTAAGTAAATGTTGTACCTATATATAAAACAAGTCTGGCCTAAATTAAATAAATGGTTGCCAGCTTGTATCATACTCCACGCTTGGGAACTTTCCATATAAATTTCAATACTTTACATGTTGGTAATTTAAAAATGAGAAATCCTGCTTAGTTTAATATGTGACTTATTAGGTGAATAAAAATTGCCACCTGACCTACTTTTGCCGCCAGGCAGTCTTATGAGCGATATTGCGTTCCGGTTTTGAAGGGTAAAGGTACTGGTGAAATTGAAGGCATATGGGACTTGTCGAGTTATGTATGTCTCTGGGTGACGGGTTCATGGCAGTGAGTGCCCGTCAGATCTTTGTGATTTAAAGCATTTAGGCTCAATTTAGGTACATTGCCGAGGAAAAAATTAACGGAATAGTCAATTTCATTTCGTTGCGCAAAAAGGTGCGCGAATTTGCGAGAATTCTGCGGCCTTGAGGCTAGGGGATGTTAAATTGTTTTGTCTAGATCTTTAACATGAAAAGGATAGCGAATTTTGGGTTTTGTTTTTATTTTGTTTATTATGAAGCTGAAGAAGCAAAAAAGAAAAAGAACAGAAAAAGAGATATTTGCGTTAATGGTTTATATGAAACAAATGAAATTTTTTTGGCCGATATAAAACATTTTCAAAGTAAAAAACCCTATATCTGTTTCATAGCCGCTTGTCGCCTCATTGCGCCTTTCTTCGCGCCACTTCCCGCTTTTTCGCGAGACGCTTACGAACATCGCTGCGGGAATTCCGAAGAATACGCGTCAATTGAGCCTGAGATCTTCATTCTTTTATCAACGTAGCAGACAACTCTCTTGTTACTTGTACACAACAAGGGCCCTTTTCACATACATGTTTTTGTGTGATATCTATTTATATACTGATTTATCATTTAATACCTATCTAATTTAAAAAATATCTATAGGTACTTATGGATTATTTTATGTTATAATTATATTAGTCTAAGAAGGGCTGCATGGCGGCGCTTTTTAATTTACCGTAATAAATAACTGAAACAAGATTCACAGTGATTTCTCACAAATTTTCAGATATAGTATGAATCTTAGTGAATTGTCAATTGGGTATTCACCTCAGAGTCCAATATTAGAAGAAGTTGTAAAGGCTGCAATGGCAAAATTATTTGCCGCGAATGATGATATAATAAAAAGGGCGATGTCTAATCAAATAAAATTGCCCAACTTGACCGTAGTAAACAACACTATTACGTTACCCAGCAATGTTTCTGGTATTGACTTGAAGTGGAATATCACACTGCCAGATAAAATTAAATTGCCGGACAATACGACTATACAAGACTTTCTGGCCACATTGATCAAGAACGAAATAGTGAAGAACTTGTTAAATGTCAAGGCTTACAATAAGAGCTCTGACTTGAATAATATATATTCCAAGGAGAAAACGACTCGTGAGGTGTTATGTGTTATAGAATTTAGCGACTCACTTGCAGGTGAGTATCTGGACCATTATAATAATATCAATTTATTTCCAATCGCAGTGGCATAACCTAAAGTGCGATCGCACACATGACGTGTCGGGCTACCTGCCGTGCGAAAATTAGGCCCTCTGTAGGTTATGCCAAACGATCCACTGGTGTCCGGTTAAGGTGGGTCCATATCTGTCATGGGCACTTGCTACATAAATGTGAATTTTATTGTGGATTTACCGTATATGAGTATTCTTACTTATGATTGAAATATAAAATAAAAAAGTGAAAAATTCTATTAGATATTATTGATAATGGATTTGATTACTTTTGGTATTGTTAAGGCGATCCTTTACCCTGAATATGCTCTTGTAATATAACGTTCAAAAGCGAGCATTACAGGCGGTGAGGGAGGAGAGCCGAGCATTCGTTGCGCAACACTTATAACATTCGATAGCCTCCTTCACCGGGACCATTCGCCTGTAATGTAACAATCTGTTCAGGTGTAAGGCTGCGACTCCACCACATTTAGTGGAAGTGTTTTCAAGTTTTTACTTAGGTGCCCGCGGATGTGTGCGAGTGCCTTTGAGTGCCAGCGAGTGCTTTTGAGTGCTAGCGAGTGCTTTTGAGTGCCAGCGAGTGCCTTTGAGTGCCAGGGAGTGTCAGCGCCTGCCATTGAGTGCTTTTGAGTGCCCGCGAGTGCCTTTGAGTGCCAGCGAGTGCCTTTGAGTGCCAGCGAGTGCTTTTGGCTCAAAGGCACTCAAAAGCAACTTTCTTACAATGTCATTCATTAATGACACGATCGGAAAGTTATACCAAAATTACTTTTACGATGCACAGGTTAAAGATTGTTTGTTTAACACTCTTCTCCACATTTATGTGCTCAGAACCACAAGTTCGACTAAGTCCGCTTGAGAGTCAGGTATTTTGCGTCAATGCGTGTACTATATGGGGTGCTACGTGTATGTTCGTACCTCAGATTACAAAACGAATTTTTAAACGAATTAAAAAAAGAATTGTATCTTCGTACTAACACACATTTACGGCCATTGTAGGACCCAAAACGTATAAATCGGTGCCCATTTTGGGGGTACAGCGGCGCTATAGCTCTAAGTGCCCTAAGCGATGTATCAAAGTACCCCACAGGTGGGGCAGAATTGGACAGTTCTTATTTTTTGTTAAAATCAAAATTTTTCAATTATTCAGTGCTATTTATGAAAGAAAAGATTAAATTAGTAATGTTTATTAGTTATGTCATCAATTAGGTAGATAAAACATTCATTATAATTGGATATAGTAGCCCAAAATTTAAGTTAAAAATAAGTGTACGAATCTGCCCCGCTTCGCCCTAGTATTATAAAAAATATGTACAAAATGATAGTTATGAAGATGGTGTATAACTGTGATTGTAATAAATATTATAAATTATCAAAGATTTTCAAAAAGTCTTAATAAAATATTATTCCTTTGTGTGATTTAAATCAAATAATAATTAAATATTAAAAAACCTAATCAACCCGCCCGTGTTTTCACCAGGGTTTTACCCGAAGCGTTTTACCCGAGTTTTAACCCATTTCTGCCTAAAATCGTGGCAGAAACGAAGAGTACAGAATTTGGTATAATTCCAACATTAACAACATAATATACAATAACTTGTAACAAATTTCTATATTTTTTTTTACACGAAAAAGAGGCATCTCCACATAATACCCACCACCTGTCAATCCTGTGGATTTTCAATGAAGAGCGATTCAAGTGCATACAATCTAATAATTTTTTGTATCAATTTATTTGTGAACTTTTCAAGCGAATCTTTTCAATAAAAAGGTAAATCGAACTGTCCTGATAATAAAGCAACAAATATTTTGTAATAATATGTATAATTAAATTTGAACAAAACTCAATTCTCAGCAAATATTTAGAAGTAAATAGCTTAAGCCCTCGATTTCGGGTTTTAACCCGATTTAAACCCGGTAATAAAAAAGCCCATTGCCCATCTCCAGCTACGACCCAACGGTACTGCAAGGCGAGCAGAGGGCGCGGGGTATGAGAGGGGAGGGCAGGGAGCAGAATACTTGCGGACAGCGATAAATAAAACTTGACTATAACAGGAGCTGCGACAATCTGCCGTCACGTTTTTATCGTGACGTTTTTTATGGTCCGACGACTATCGTTCTAGTTGTTCTCACTGTGACGACAGTTTGTCGTTGTAATGATAAAAAATCGTGAACGACAGATAATCGTGTCGTGTTATATGTGAACAACTTCATTTAAATATACAAGCCACGACACTGTAAACTGCACGACAATCTGTCGTCACGACATAGTGGGAACGCGCCCTAACACGATGCGACGTCGTATCGTGTTTATGTGTAAGAGCACTCTTTTCGCTGCATCTGGCAATCTTACACGCACACAAATGCGCATATCCCAACAGTGCCTCCTAGTTGTCACGCACACAATAAATGAAAAGTGGCTTCATATCGTTTGTTGCGTATGCTCCATCTGCCTATTGTTTCGTAATCTGAGATACGTACAAAATAAACTTCACGCGGTGGTCAGCTGCATCTATGTTCAACTTACAATGTGTTCGTCCATCGTGAGAGCGAAACTTGTACCTTGCGTTTTAGTGTTCTTATTAGAAGACAATGCAATGGTAAAACTTTTAGTGGATATTGCGAAAGTCTTAATTAGTCTCGTAATAAGCTGAAAATTATTTTTATCAGCATGGAGAAGAGCACCTTGTCATTAATACACAGTAACTCGTTTATTTCGTTTCAGGAGCTACTACATTACCAGACGACCTATCATATTCACTGCGTTTTCCAGACAGACCTCGCTTAAATTCATTTTTCGCCGAAGGTAGTCGAACGTGGTATACAGATGTGTTGTATCCGTTTATCTCATATCCCGGTCCACGAAGTGAATTCTCCGTCGAAGGGGGGAACGAGCCAGGATATACGAATGAAATGTTCGTAGCTGTTATGCATGTGGTGTCGATGGAATTAATAGAACGACGCACTGGAAAAAATTTAGCTTCGTTTATTGTGTACATGCAAAGATACCCGCATCCCCCGTACGTAAAGGATTATGAGTTGAAATGTCTGCAATTGGTATTTCCAATGTTTATAATGCTGAGTTTCAGTTACACTGCAGTGAACATTGTCAGGGCTATTACTGTTGAAAAAGAATTAGGGTTGAAGGTAAAAACTATTTCTCAATGTCTTATTTAGTTCAAAATAATATGTATGATTTTAGTTTTTATTTTCTTATTTTTCAGGAAGCAATGACAATCATGGGTCTACCTACATGGTTACATTGGACGGCGTGGTTTTGCAAGCAGTTCATTTATCTTTTCATTGTCGTAGTACTTATCGTTTTTATCATAAAGGTCAGTTTTCAATATCGTGAGGTAAAAGTAAATAAGTTTTTACAACAGTAACACAATACATTACAATAGTAAAAAATATGTTTTGGTGAAACTACACGTACACGGAGTTAGGGGAGAGCGGGGCTCAAAGTGCCGGGGGTAAGTTGTGCCGATGCAAATATCTCAAAAACGGAAAGAGATACCTTTATGTTCATATTTCGTCTTCAAATGTCGAGCAATCAGGTCAGCATTCTGGTGCTACGGATATGGGAGTTATACTAATACATTTGCGATTTGTCCAATAATGTTAATTTATGCAATTTTAACGCTATAAGCAGATTGTTTTTTTGTCACATGATATAATGTTAACGTCGTCCAAACGGGGTAAAAAGTGCCTTTCATCAGGGGTCAATTGTGCCGCGGCACAACCAACCCCCACGAACCTTTATTAACCTTTATTATTTTGTTTGATGGAATGAGAAAATACAGGCAAAAAGGGGGAGAACTACTTCCCAGGACCTGTTACAATGGGCTGCTGAGGCGGTCATTGAAGATGGGTGAAAATTAAAAACCGTTTCGCGTGAATTGAAGATTTGTCACACAATGCTGCACCAGTATGTCAAGAAAATACAGAGTGAACTTACTCCGTCTGTTGGATATAAACCAAGACTGATGTTTAATGATGAACAATAGACGTCATTATGTCCGATAAAGCTCTTTTATCTATTTCGGTCTTCTACCAGAAGAAGTTAGACAACTTGCATACCAGTGTGCGATGAAATTTGGTGTCGAGAACATTCCACAGTTGAAATCGGCTTGATTTGAAGAAGTTTGATGTGGTCTATAAAGGCTAATTTTTAATGACTCTGTTTAATAGATCTCATTTACATTAAAATTAAGTACAAATTATTAATATAGAACATACTTTGTGTTTGCTATACCACGAAGAATTGTCTTTTATTGCTTATGTTTAGTTAAAAATTGCCTAACTATAAAAATGTTGATTTTTTTTATTTATTAGGAATAAATATAAAGTTATCAAGTTGTATAGTTTCTTATTTCTAAGTCCATTTTAATCCATGTTAAAGGCCAAATATGATGAACGGCACAACCGACCTCAGCTACGGCACAACTTGCCCCAGAGAGGGGTCAGTAGTGCCTTACCCACCGCTGTTTATAAAATTAATTCTCTATAGAAAGCTATTCAAAATGCACAATAACTTCATATACATTTAAAATATAGATGAAATTTTACATAAAATACATTAGACCTATTAACCGTAGTATTTGGATACAACCGATTTGTTTAAGGATTTGTCAAAATCGGCACTTTCAGCCCCGCTCTCCCCTACACCACTTACTACTACCCATCACCGTGAGACACAAGTTGACACTTATGTCTCACAGTAATGGGCGCAGTGGTAGTGCACCTCAGATCTTTGTGATTCTTCGATTTGGAATGCTCGATCGATTGCGAAAGCTCAGAGTGGCACTGCAATGGTTATGGATAGGTGATAGTGATGGGTGGAGTTGCTAACCTGTTGTCCTGCCCGTTACTTGATATCATATAAAAAAATGGATTAGTTAGTAACCTAATGTTTTTTTTCTTGCTTTTAGTTGCCATGGTTTTCGGCACAAGATGGCTTCCGCGATTACGCAGTTTTCTCTACGACCCCGTGGCATATATTGTTTATGTTCCTGATACTGTATGTAATATGCATCATATTCTTTTGTTTCCTGATGAGCTGCCTATTTTCAAGAGGTAACACCACATTCGTGGAGAAATCGGATAACCCCAGAACTTCGTTCCGCTAAACCAATTGTTAATAAAAATTAATCCGATTCCGCAAGATCTATCCATTTCAGAAAGTTCCTTTTTATATATTTTGGGGAGTGCGGGATTTCATCCTTTTTCTCCTAAAGTAAGGGCGCATTTATACGACACGAATTTCATCGCGCTCATCCCGCGCGGTCGAAGAGCGGAGTCCGCGGCGGCCGCCGCGCGGTCGAAGAGCGGAGTCTGCGGCGGCCGCCGCCCAGTGACCGCGTGCACGTGTTCAGAGACCGAACTGTCATGCCAAATACGCTCTATTTGTTTAGCTTTTACGTTTTAATCTAAATGAGCAAAAAAAAATCAACCTCAGGCTGTTACTGCTATTCGATTTCAGGTTCATTCAGTTACTCAAATTCTGTCTTGGAATCCATTATGCGAAATGCAACTAAAATTAAAAAAGTTGTAATTGCATATTATGTTATGTACTTTCCTTGCGGAAAGGCAAAGATCTTTAGGCCATGCAGCCTAGTCTTTTTTATATTGATTGACTGAACCTAGCGCGCGAGGAGAGCTGGAAGGCACTAACTTGTCTTTTGCCTACGCGATGACGCGTGGCGGCCGCGTGGTTGTATTATTCAGAGGAATTTAAATGTTGTTGCCTAGTAAATAGAATTCAGATTCGCCATTAATGTACATTAAGGCGTGGCAACTGGGCGTTCCGTCTGTCTGTTCACTCAAACTTTATTGCATCTACATTGTGCTAACAACAGAGCTTAGGAGTGAAGATGAGGTTAACTACTATATTCGCATAGCACGCTTTTGCAATGCCAAAATTATTGCAGCTCAATATCGAGTGATATTTTAATGCATGGCAAGAAATTCGAAATAGTGACGCATGCGAAGTTATAGCGTCTATGGTGTACCTATGGAATGGAGTACGGGTTTTTTTTATGGTCAGGCTAGCTGCATGATTACTTAGTTTAACAAAGTTTTCATATACCTACTTTGTAACTATTAAATAAAAATAGGTATAAGATAAATCAATGAGCTTCCCTTCCTACTTTTAATTGATGACTGGGTACATTTAATTAGCTACTGTGGTAGTTTATACTTTCACAATTCCTACTCCTATTCTACTTTTATTTACAAATATTACAATAACCTATTATCTAAACAACCGCACTTTATTTGAGTAAAACGTATTTGAATTATATTTCTCAAACTGTCCATGTGCGAAATTTTATTTGAAATTTACCATCAGCTTTTCGGTGATTGCACACATCTGCAAATCAATTTAATGATATGAGTGAAGTTCCTAATCCGCATCGGGCCCGCGTGGAAACTACAGCCGGAGTCTTCTCATTGTGATTAGCCTATATTATGTATATAATAATAATACATAGGCTAAGTATGATTATTATTCTATTCCAAAATATGGCAAAGTTGCTACACTTACCAAGATTTGTGGAGAAGAATAAATATTTTTACATTACTTTTGAACGGTGCTTCAGCTGGTGCTAGAATATTTTTTTGGCAAGAGTTTTGACGCAGAAGAATAAGTTGAAATCCTACAGTCGGAGTTTAATCATTTTACATTTTCTTTTAGCCAACGCTGCGTCATTGTTCACCGCTGTATTCTGGTTTTTAACCTATATACCGGCTTTCTTGGTGTCAGTGGAAGTGAAAATGCCAATGTTTATAGAGATAATCTCTTGCCTCAACCTCAACACTGCAATGGCTCACGGGTTTTCGATCTTATTATCCAAGGAGAGTGTTGGAGGTTATTTCCCTTATACTTATAGATAACTATTTTGTCTTATTATTACTACTGGAATTACTATTGAATGTTTTCCAATTAAGTAGGTTATTATGCTCTTTAAACAGTTAATTGCCTTTTGATTAGTCAAGTACAGCAAGAGAGGATGCTGTGATGTTATGTGTATATTTCCACTTTCCTTCACTTTCATACGACTATCTATGTCTTTTACAAACTATACTGATAGACATATTTAGAGGAATGCCTAAAAAAAGGGTAAATTATGATAACTGCAACGTACTTATGAATTATTGGCCACATATAGCAGAACATTCAATTGAAATCAAAAGGCGGTTGAAGTCATTCTTGTTTCAAACTAAACGTTGTGATTTAAGTGGTCATTGGTTTATATGAACATTGTTATCATAACTCATCGAATATATAACCAGAAAAAGAAACGAAATGTCATTTAATTTGTTTGAAAACTATTCTGCCAAATCATTACGATGACAACTGCAATCGGCCAGCCCGAATTCAAAACAATTGACGGGAGCTTTGCTATAATGGACGAAAATTGAAAATGACATAATATTTAGTATTTCATTACCAATGAAATGTGATTCCGTTTGTTTTGCAATTAGATGTTTTGCTGTTTTTGCTCACACCACCGAATGGAACAGCCGCCCATTGTTAAAGATATATACAATAAATACACAGTATTTTTTGGAAAATACTGAGACGTACACACATGTCAGTTGTTGGCGCTGTATTATTTCAGCTTTCTAGCCTGTGATTTCTGCGCAAACGAGAGTTGATATTTACGTAAAAGCCCATTTTCCTGATGAGTTGCCAGGGATGGTACATTCGTCTCTATTTCTGGTTATATACTTTATGTCATAACTCAACCTTCGTTAGCATCCCTCTAAATACATCCTTGAGTGTAATTTACTAAATTCATTCAGTTTGCATTTGAACATACTTATTTTAAAATTGACATAAATAGACTTTTGAGTTTGAGATCGTCGGCTAAATTCGTAACCTCCATAAATTTGAATTTTTAGTAGGCACATAAAACAGAATTACTAGAAATAATTATGTAACAATCTATGATTATAGCTTTATTTTATAACTTGAAAATGGTCTACAAATTATATTTTAAACTTTAAGTTCCTGATATCGCGCTTGTAGAGTAAAAAAGAGATTTCGTCCAAAAACGGAGTTAAGAGGTTTCAAATTTAGTTGACAATATGTAAGTGATGATTTTCATTCTACAATTACAGGTATGCGATGGAACACATGGTTCTATTCTCCATCTGAAAAAATCCCTCGTCTTTTATTCGGCCACGTGGTCATAATGATGATTGTTGACGCGATTTTGTACTTGATCCTGACGTTGTATCTCGAGCAGGTGTTACCTGGACCCTTTGGTAACCCGCAAAAGTGGTATTTCTTATTCCACAAAAGTTACTGGATGGGTATCCCAATGGTCGATGGTGAGTTTGACAAATTATGCACGTAGTATAAAGTAAGGCAAGGAGGCACTCGAACCTAGAACTTGCGACTTATTCTAACTTACGACGAAATGAAAACTAATGAAATTCTTTGATTATCTAATATATAACGTACCATTCGTAACTGATTGGCGATTACTCCGCTGACGAGAGCCCGGGTGGTGACTGGTCAGTTCATTTTAGCGTGACGTAACACGTTACAATTCATCAGCTTCCAAGCATTTGTCACGTTGCACAATCAAGATGACGACGAGTGATTTGCTGTTGCGAGGTTAAGGGGTTGTAGCAGGAGTGTGTAATGGAAGACGTAATAACAAATAATCTATTTTCACTTTGTATAACAACATTTGATATAATTTCTAAGGATATAATCACTCGCTGTATATAATCATAAAATAAATCTACATAAGATATAACAACAAAAGGCATAATTTCAATGTGTATAATAAGCGTGATATAATGAACAAATGGTTTATGTACTACGTGTATCGTGTATTAAAATAATACAACACCATATCTCGTTTGACGAATCGCTGCGCTCCTTCGGGTCGTGCAGCTTTGTCATACTCACATAACCTAAACCCACAGGAGGAGCCATCGAACCAACTTACAAATGCAAACAAATTCGGTTCTGGCACTCGCCGGCCGCTACCGCGGCACGATCTCTGCGCTCTTTAGATCTCTCGATTTATAACACATTATACTCAGTGAGTGTATCAGTAGAGTGTAGTCAGGTATACCTGAAGAGTTTATATAAAATGAACATTATGTCATCGGTATATTAGATTGAAAGTTGTTATGCCAAACATCTATTATACCCAGTGACCTTTATATCATGCAAGAATATGTCAAATGTCTGTGTATCATAAATTAGTTATATCTGTTGAGCGTTATATCTACTAAAATATATGTCATTTGTTGTTATGTGTAACGAACCGCACCCGGTGTAGCAAATATGTTAATGGCTGAAGTACAAGAGCAATGATGTCAAGCTCGCCGCGAATGTTAATGTTACGATAAAATTTTCGGTCAATCGCCAGCAATCCATGTTATCGTCGTCGTGGTTTGTTTTGTTTTCAGATGCACCATTGAATGAATCTAGTTACGGAAACAGAATCGTAAAAGAGAAGGACCCACGTGAACATACCGTTGGAGTCAAAATAAAGGTAGTAGGTGTTGTCTGTTATGAAAACTTACTATCTATTACTTATACTTGTACGTGCCGAGTGTATTCGTTTTCTAACAGCTTTTTTATATTTTGACTTACTTACTGTAGTCTCAGTAAGTATATTTTTATGTGTGTATGTTGCGCGATTACTACGGCATTTTGTGAACCGATATCGATGATTCTTTTTTTGGATAGGGAGCCCCACTGTAGTGGCCCCAATCAAATTTTAATAAAATATTCCATTTATAATAATACCTATTATTATTTTAAGTCACGATGCGGTTTATTCGTCTTAGCCACGTATAGATCCTATACGAAATGGATAGCTGACATCAATACAAAGGAGAGAGTGTCAGATTTCAAAGATATAAATTATCAAAGTTAGTAGTTTGTGCCGTTTAACATGTCAATACCGGCCATTAACCCGACTTTCACACAGAAATCACAATTCGATGGCGTAAATCTGTCGTAAAGTTGTTTGACACAGTAACATAATAAAAATCAAAAAACATAGTTTAAAAAAAAGAGAAATTGAGGCATGTGCAATTATATGATGTTAATATCATATTATTATATAATATATTAATTATCATTATAATTTCATACATATTTCATGACAATGATCTTATGTCGTAAAGAGACGAACTTGACATTTGAAGGATTGCATAATTTTTTTCAAATTTCAAGAAAAAATATAGTCGTATGTATTTAGAAAATCCATAACTACCAAGTTACAGAAAATAAAACAAGGAATCACATACTACGCGTAATTTAGCAAAAATATTTACGTTATTACTATATTTTATTTATATTTCCGTTTATTTTTATAATAACAGTTGCCAATTGAAGATAGAGATAGTAATTTTTTTCTGTAGTGAGTGCGATTAACTCCAGTCATAGAATATAAGTGCAGGTACGAACATTGTAGGCAGTCAGTTAAGTCATCGATTTGGTAGATGACTGATTGTATTGTAGTTGGAATACTTATTAATATAGATTTGTTACGTATGTGCTTATGCTATCTTACACTAAACAATTATTTCTTGCTTGTACATGAAAAAAACACAGAATTTCAAAAAATCATAGTTTTAAAAATATAATAAATATTTGCAAATTTACATGCTAATAACATCAACTAAACTCTTACAATTTTAACCCAGAATTATTTTTAACCGACTTTAAAACGGAGGAGGTTCTCAATTCGACGAATTGTTTTTTTAATATGTATTTTACACGATAACTCCGGTATTTATGAACCGATTTTGATGATTCTTTTTTATTGGAAAGGGGGTACTTCCATAGAGGTCCCATTTAATTTTGAAGAAAATCATCCACCTCTAAGGGTGACTGTTCACGCATGAACATTCATTTTTATAAATAGCGCCTAATTTTATTATAATGAGCAATTATTTTAATGGTTGATTTAGCTATTCTACAATTCAAGGCGTTTTTCACTCTCAATATACTTTGAGCAGTAAGAACTGATTTTTATTATCTCCTGTGTCAAGGTCCGTATAGTGGCGAACTAGGGGATGAAACCGGGTTTGCGCACTATCCGGTAACCGATTTCAATAAAACTTGGCAAATAGATGTAATTCCACGTACTTTTGAAGTCGGTTTTTTTAGTACTCTGTACTGAGATTATTGTGTTCAGATTGGAGATGATATTTTTTTGATTTATATTATTACATGAATGCTAAGCATTACTTATTTAATATAATTGCTTGTTTATTTAGCCTGTGTTACACACAAAAAGACTACTTTACTGCGCCACAGTAATAAATGAAAATTAAAAAAGTGGGTAATTTCTTATTCATGGGAGACGGTTCCAAGTCTCCCTAATTTAAAAAAAAGAAGGGAAAAAAATTAAACACTCGTGGAAATCGCAATATTTTCCATCGAGGATAAACTCTAATAACTTTCTCGTCGAATACATACCATAAGTTTCCAATTTATTATAAACAAATATCTTTCCTTGGGAACACAAAATGTGTTTCAAGTTTTTCTTATCATTAGTGTTAATTCAACTAAAAGCCTCCTAATAACAAAAGTTCATACCGCATGACCATCACCCTTTGCACACGAGAAGAGATACAGTGAAGTAACCTGGGTATCTCCGTTTTAACAAAAAAAAATTTTTTTATTTTTTTATTATATATTATTTAATTATAAATATATATTTAAAAATATTGAAACGATGTCGTAATCAACTTGGTACTTGGTGTAACGGGCTGGTGTCCGCAACTCGACGTCAAGGCGCCTATTTTGCGTGTGGTGGGTGCAGGGTCCTACTCGTGCCACCCAAGCTCCTTCAGGAATCTCAGCAGCCTCCTCGGTTTGCTGAAGACTTCGGGGAGCGACCTTGGCACTCTAAGGTACTTTGCCCTGTAGTTGGCCACGCCGGAGCACTGTAGTAGGATGTGCACAGCCGTTTCCTCGTATGGCGTAATCATAATGGCATGTCAAATTCAAAAACACACGATTTTTAATAAAATATCTATATGTTGTGGAACCGACTTCAAACGTCGATTTCTATGAACGTAACGAAATCTTGTGCATAAGATCATTGTTTCATGACAATAAACAATATGCGTAACATAAATCTTGTTCTTCATTGTTTCATGACAATAAACAGTGAACGTAACATAAATCTTGTGTATACGATCATTGTTTGATGACAATAAACAGTATGAATTAGGTTGCAATGATACTTAGACCACTTCACATTTAAGCTAATATTTAAAGCTCAGTGCATAACTGTATTTCAGTTCCTTTAACTTAAATTAATTATAAAAAGACAAAACGAGCAAAACATATTTTTAAGGCTTGCGTGGTTGTTCACTAAATACAGATATGATTTCTTTTTATTTTTCGATGTTAGGGTTACACGCTCCATGGTCACGAGTTGACTGACTAGTGGCAGATGGCCGCTATAAGAATAGACACATATCTGTCTACTTTCTTTCCTTGTCGACGACTACCCTCGTCTCAATTACTTATGGCGTTACCATTGTCACTTACTTTTTTCCGACAAACCACACTCACTGTATCGACACGCGAAACTGAAGTAGACTACGAACTGAATTCTACGCACTAGATAGTTTACATCAAACATAAATAATATATAAAAAGAATAAAACATAACATGTAAAATATAAAAAAATGTTATTACGATTAATTAAAGCGATGACTCTAGTCAGCGATGATAGTTGCAAAGGTACCTCACTGAGTGAAGAAATAAATTTCACACAGATGGCGCTATAGCAAAAAGTCGTTAAAAACCAAAAACAAAGATAGCACATAGAAAAATTCCTAGGTGTGCTTGGTCATACCGTGGCTTAATTGGCAGAGCATCTGGTACGGATTGCCTGAAGGTGCTGGTTCAAATACAGCTGGATAGAATGAATTTTTCTTGGTGTTTCAATCTTTGTTATAATAATTATAATAAATTTTCATTTAACATCCATGAAAAACACAACGGTCCTTTAAAAAAAGGCAAATTTCAACTTATTCCCGTTTCCTTTTGCTCACTTTACACGCCTGAAGCACATTTAACTGCCTCCGTGGCCGAACGGTTACCATGCCGGACTGCCACGCAGAGGTCCCAGGTTCGATTCCCGGGCCGGGAGAAATGTTTGTATGGCTTACATTTATTTCTCTCGTGAGTTTGGGTGTAATTTGTGGTTGTCTATGTGTGTGTCCATGGCACCCGCGACACATTGTTTCCCTAGTGCGGGGCTATGTTGAGTGTGTGCGTTATTTATTTATTTATTGTTATTTTTTCCAGCCATTTTGCTTTGCATATTTGAATCTCCTTATAGTGTCGTTCGTGGTACGTTAGTGGTAGGAAGGGGGTGAATGATCGCTACTCACATGATAAATGGCACTTAGTATATACAGGTGACGCCATCTAGTAAGTAGATTTAGAAAGAAAAGTAACTGAATTTATCCGTAACCGCCATTTTATTATTCTCAAATTGACGATAATAATCTTCAAACCCTTTTTTATTTTTATCAACAGAACCTAACAAAAACGTTTGGTACATTCACTGCAGTGAATAATTTGTCTCTGAATATTTATAATGATCAGGTTACTGTATTACTTGGCCATAATGGCGCTGGTAAATCCACTACCATTTCTATGATCACAGGTAACAATTTCTGGTTGTTCTTTTATTTTGCGTAGCTTGAATGTTCTGACTTGAAGTTCTCAATAAATTCGTCTGTATTTTTTATAACTGATACAGCATATCATAGACGTGTGTTATGCGTAATAACATAATTAGATACCTACATTATTTTACTTTGAATTCTATTTGCATTAACTTTTCTTAAATTATCGCTTTTTACTACTTTTTACGCTTTTCTGTCTAACTTTACTGCTATACTACAAATTTTCTAGGATCTTCACTTCACAAAATTCTACATAATATAACTTAGTAACCACGTCCACTAATTTACGTATTTTATAAACTATTTTTATAAGTATCGCTTTTAAGTGAATAACTTTTGTTTAAGCAAATACATAAAATGAATGTAAAAGTAACACCAAATTAGTGAGAAATGAGCAGAGAAACTTTTTTTTCTACAATTTATTTTTACGACATCGTACAAAGGTTACTTCAATAGACATTGCTAGAGATGAGGTATATCGATAAAAGGTTTTCGATAATTTAATGAATAAATATATAGTGCGTACACGAGTTTAACGCCGAGCCGTTCGCGGCCGCTTGCTAAATCTTCTTTTTAATTTTTTGTTCAAAAAAATGTAATCTTGTCTTGTACAAGATAAAATTTATGTTGCATAGCCTGTTGTAATGCTTCGCAGTGCGACTTGGCTATGGCAATTTCAGGCGTTTGGTAACTGCTGCATTAATTGACCAGCTTCACTGTCGTGTATTTTTTCTGCTTTTTTGCATTTCATTGTTGATCTCTGTTTGCAAGGAAACGTGGGAATTACTCAAGGGTCAGTGAGAGTGGCTGGCTACGATATTACACAACAGAAACTCAAAGCTCGAGCCCATTTGGGTCTGTGTCCACAAAATAACATATTATTTAATGAGTTAACGGTTCATGAGCACCTGGAGTTTTTCTCTAGAATAAAAGGACTAAAGGGGCCGACCATGTATACAGAAATAGATTCGACTATCAAAAAATTGAAATTGGAAAAGAAGGTACCACATTATCTTCATTATCCACTCTTTTACAAGTAGTGTGAGTATACTAACCATGTACTACCATGTTATCATGACGTAGACATTGTACACAATAATATGTGATACAATATTTTCGCAGATAAAAGTTAATACATTGTTTCTGATGTGAATGTAACCGGCAATATGTAATTCGAGAGAGTCAGAATGGCGGGTGTACCTTAACGAATCCTGACAAATTTGGTATCAAAAAATGTACCTAATTTGTACTATTTAGTACCTCTGTTTAAAAAAAATTTGTACCTTCATCAGAACGAAGTTATAGCAATATCAAAGGTACACTCGCCGTATTGACTGTCAATATGGCGGGTGTATTTATTCAATAACTATAAAAACTTCTTAGTCCTGAAATGTATACCTTATTAGTACTCTGAAGCAAAGGAAACTCCAGCTCGATCTGTTGGTTAGTTTCTGAGAAATAAGACAAAATATGTTGAGGTTTCAGAGTGCAGATTTTCCACCCAAGAGAGCAAAGGTTCCACCCAAAGATATAGAAAAAAAGGGGAGATATGTAATGACTTTATGTAAGATCGGGTGCCGATGTCGCCACTTTTTAGCTTGTGTGCAATTCAAAGTTTATGCTCTATTATCTACTACCATTACTTAAAGATTTTGATTGAGTAGGGCTTAAAACGTGAAAACGACGTAAAACAGTTTTAAAATTTAACAAAATTAAACTTATAGTCACTTGAATAATAGTTATTTTACAATATTTCAGTATTTTTTTCATCTTGGTTCAGCCACCAACAGGTGGCGTTTTAGTAAAAATACTACTAGTATATAATAGCTAACTATTACACGTTAGATGGCGCTGAAACTCATTTTTCGTTACGCTAAGAACTCACGGAGCGGTTTTCACCCGCGTCTGCCGCGGGACCGCGGCATCTGTAGAATGTAACAGTTAAGTATGTAAAATTAGTAGCACATTTCACGGCGCGTTTTACGCCTGTAGTGATGACGGTTGCTCGCGGTTGCCGCGGCGGGGTACTAGTAGTACCGCGCAGGACGCGATGACACTTTGGACACTTTGGCGGTCGGTTCAGGTGCAATGTGGTGCAGGCGCACCCAGGGTAAGTTCTTTATTAACCATGCGACTTGCAATTAACTCCCACTAACTTCGCGGTCCATTCCGCAATCGCAACGGTTTCGTGCCCGCAACCGCGGCAGCTACGTGCCCGCACTAACTTGCAGGGTCGTGAGTATTGAAATAAAACCGCTGTCTAGCAGCACCGGCGGGCGCGGATGGAAACCGCTCCGTGAATTGTTAACCTTATTAACCTTAAACTGACGCGACTGATGTGGTCCTACCCAATCGGTAGTTGGAAACCATGTTGATGCTGATTTTAATATTAAAAAAATATTCCATTTTCATACTATATCTACACTGGTACCTACTGGTGTATTATTAAATTAATATATTAATATAAATTATTATTATTTTGTTCTTAATGGCTGCAACTAGGCTTGGACCAGTGACAGTTTTATAAGAATAATATAAAAAATATGGCGATCGTCGCCAGTGTCAATTTTCCATTATACGTTACCACGCGTTGGTGAAGCTGTCACTGTCAAGAGTAAACTCGAACCATCAGCGAATTTAATAAATTAAATCGTTGTTTTTTTATGAAGGATTTATGTAATTTTCTATAATTGTTTCTAATTTACTTTGCATGCACATGTAAAATAAAGCCTGTTTTATTTTATTTTTTAAATGCATTTGATATGGAAATTGAAACAAAGTCAGAAATAGTAAAAAGAAAACCAATATTTCGATTTTCCTGCAGCTTCAATCCAATTCTTTTATTTTAAACTCATTGGAAAAACTTAAAAATTATATATACTCTACGATTAATCTACGAGTATAATGGAATTTAAATATCTTAAATATCTAAAACATATAAATTTTTTTTCAAGCAACAGCAACATCCAAATTGACTAGAAATTGAAACGGTTGTCCGAAATATGAGTTGTGTTAAAGTTACTCGAAATAAAATGTTTAAAAATAATAATAATAATAAAAGAAAAGAAATCAATTTAACGTGAATGCTTTTCACTTCGATATTTTAGGGACTTTAATTACAAAAATCATAGTAAGAAATTCAAACATTTCAGTAAAAATTTATTGTCGATAAACATCAATATGATAAACGTCTTCGTAAATGAACATCACTATATTTGAGTCTAGAAATTTCTATGAAGACAAAAGAAAACATTGAATAATAATAGAAATAGTAACTAAAAATGCAAATTATCGGTGGAATGTTATCTCACTGGTTTTAAAATTTTTGTTTTCAGTCTAATTTTTACAAGATGTATCGCTACAACTTGGCATTTTCGCGTTTTACGAGAGATCTTGTATGTACAACGATCGCCATGTCACTGTGGCGATGTTTGTAGGCGTGTCACCTCGATATGGTCATTTTGACCATATTGATGAGACGCGAACCACGCCCCCATGCCATATCTCCCCTTTTTTTTCTATATCTGTGGTTCCACCATACACCCTCTTCATATGTCAGTATTTTTCCTTGTTTTGATGGAAAAGGTGACAAGTGCGTGTCTTTAATATAGTTTATTTTATGCAATGGTTGAAAGAAGGTGTTCCACATATATAGATTCATGTACATATTGTGTACAATATAGCTACAAGAAGCGACATAGAATTATTAAAACCACTAAAAATTAATTGATTACTTTTTCGAATTCGGGATTTCCGGAAATAGTTTTACTGCATCGTAGAACAAAACTGACCTAGGAAGTCGAAGTTAGATTTTAAACTAATTCTAATAGTGCCATGTAAAAATACAGTAGATAACTGACCTTTTGCCCAAGCAGAGAATAAAAAAGTAACGATTGTGGTCACTTACTTACTCGGTACTTGGTGTAACGGGCTGGTGTCCGCAACTCGACGTCAAGGCGCCTATTTGGCGTGGTCACTCTCCGCCCCTTTATTTCTCCCTTTATTCCTCCTTAGCTTTATTTATTATTAATAGGTATAATAACATATTGAAATACGTATTGTGAGTGAGAATGTTTAAACATATAATATTAAAGTCAATCAAACTACTAAATCAAATAAAGACCCCGTCCTATACAATTAAATGGCATCAACCCTTCATTACATATGAAATAAACTATATTTTCCATCAAAACAAGTAAAAATACTGACATATGAAGAGGCTGTATGGTAGAACCTTTGCCTAGGTACCCAAATAAAGACGGAAATCTATTTAAAAAAATACGAAAGTGTTTACAATTTTGATTTCGCTCTAACTTTGTTATGATAGAGGTACAAATGTTTTTAAGAATAAGTATAAGATACATAGATTTTGATACATTTTTTTGGTACCAAATATGCCAGGATTCGACTAGATGCACACGGCACTCTGAAATCTCGAACATATTTTGTCTTATTTCTCAGAAACTAACCAGTAGATCGAGCTGAAGTTTCCTTTACTTCAGAGTACTATTGGGTACAAATTTTTGGACTAAGAAGTTTTTGTAGTTATTAAATAAATACTGGTAATCCGAGGTACACCGCCATATTGACATTAAACGAGGTACTAAATAGTGTAA